GGTGATTTATATTACCATGAGCAAACAGTTGGCAGCATGAAAAGAACCAGAAAAGTCACTAAAATTGCGGCTAGCTGCAAGAAATTTTGCGTTTGCCGGCAACTCGCAAACCGATAAAATGCACAAGAGTAGAACGAAATATTGCGTGCAAAAAAGTTGCGGGCAATAGAAATTGCCGACTGTAAAACGGCCTTTAGCAGCATTGACTTCCAAACCCATTTCAGCGCTTGCGTCTGCGAGTCTGTCTACCAGGGCCTGCAATTGAACCTCTGAATCAGCCAGTATCACTGTGTCATCAGCATACCTTATGTTGTTTATAACCGTTCCGTTTATTTTGGCACCCTCTGGAAATTTTTGAAGAGACCCCCGGACTATGCATTCGGCGTATACTTTCAAGAGCAATGGTGATAATGTACACCCCTGTCTAACACCTCTCTCTATGTCTATGTATGTACCCCATGCTGCGGTTTTCTTTCTTTGTTTGAAGTGTTCTGCTGTTATTTGATCTTCACCGGGTGATTTACTACTTTTTGTTCCTTTTATGACCTCATCATTCCCGCATGTCCGAAGAATTCTCTTCAACTTATTCTTTTTCAAGTATATAATTTGTTGTTTACGTTCTTAAATTTGCGTTATTTAATCTTGTTTGCAATCCAGACTTTTTCCGGTTTCCATCCTTCCGTTCCAAAAGTTTGTACGGCTGCTTCTAGAAGCATATCTTTTAAGTTTGTCCAGGTATGTTCTATGTTGTCCTCGTTGTTTATATTTTGGGTTAACGTATTTTCTCGCAATAATTGTGCGTCGACCTGTTGCGCGACTAGTTCTCTTTAGTATAATCATAATAATTTATTATCATGTTCATACATAAAAAATCTTTACACACGTCAACAAGTCACAAAGTAGGTATACCTACATACTAATAATAAAATACAGATAATGAACTGGATGTTCTACTACTACAAACAGGATGTTCTAGTTACAATAATAAAAATTCGCAATTCACATTTACAATAGTTAAAATCAGTCAAATACAAAGTCCATAAATTCAGAAAATGAATAAAAACATTCGCTTATAAGGGTCTTCTTGATTTTTTGACGAAAAATATTATATGGTAACTCCCTCATATGTTGTGGTAGGATATTGAAAAATGCCTTCGAAGGCGCCAGTACAGAGGTTCTAAGTTATTTTTATTTCTGGTGTTATGATGGTGTTTATTTTCATGTAATTGGAAATTGCCAGATTTTTTTACAAAAAGTCAGTTCTCTAATATATATAAAGATGGAACCGTAAGTATTCCAAGAGAAACAAAGGCCCTCCTACAAACATCTCTGTAGCCGATGCCCACCATGACACTCACTGCTCTCCGCTGAATTGCGAACAGTCTATTGACATCCGACGAATATCCCCAAGCCAAAATCGCATAGGATATGTGCGAATGAAAGACGGCATAGTATGTCCTTTTCAGAACATGAAGAGAGACACAGGCTGAGAGACTTCTAAGTACATAGACGGTCTGATGGTGACGACTTCCGTTTTATTTTTAGGTTTTTCTGCAGTCTTGAGGAGACTTCCACGTATATAGTCGTCTCTTATGTAGTTTGAACCATGTGTTGGCTATAGTAAGGCTATTCTTCTGACAAAACTGACCGAACCGTGTGCCCCGGTTCACCCCCTATATCACCCACACTGTGTGTGCTTTGATTAGTTCTGTGTCGTTGTAAAATGCATCCATATCATCTTGGGAGCTTTCAGAAGTAGCAGCGCAGATCTGTATCCAATTGATATCGAAAGGGTGTCGGCTTATTCTAATCAACATTATGCTGTCGTTGACTCGTAGGAAGCTTTTTATGTATCGTGTCATGTCCTTTTAGACCAAGAAGCCCACACCGTTCAAGACGTGATCAGCTCCTGAGTAAGAGAAGCGGTTGCCATTGGTGGTGTCAATATGATCTTCTCCCTTCCATCTAACCACGCTCATGTCCAACACAATCCATCCCATCCTCTCTATTTCACCCTCGGCATTCGCCAGCTTACCAGCTCTAAACAATGTCTTCACATTCCATGTAGCTATTTTTATTTTCAACCCTGGGATTCTTAGCACCCCTTAAGATTTAACGCCTGCTGGGGACTGGGGCATAAATTTACGTTTTGTAATGCCATCTTGATTTGCTTGGAAAAATTAGTCGAAGGTTTCCCACTAGCCTTTCGCATCCTATGCCGAGTGTGAGGTTTTCGTGGCCCGATCATCCGCCTTCGGACAATTTCTCATCCACAAGACAATAGGGTTGTTAAATATTCTTAGATTTTGTCATCGATGAGGTAACTTCAACATTAAAACGTACGAACTCGAAACATTGCCCGTTCATGTGCTTTGATGAAACGATCCCCTAACGCATCCGGATAATATACATCACGCTTCTAATAACAATATTTGTACTTGTTATCATTAAACTAGTAATTCGGTTATTGTTATTAGGTCAATAATCTTCCATTTATAAGGCCGAAATTAGGCATAAGCATTGATTTCTTGTCAATATATAAGGAATTAATTATAATGTTAGAAAAGAGAGAGTCAACTTATTTAATGACCGAGTAGCTCATCAAATACAGGACAATCATAAATAATATTATTATTTATTCGATTGACAGATCAAGAAGAAACAGCAGCGTTTCAGCGCTAATTAGCAATATTGATGTTTGAGCACGGAAACCAGATGAAATATTTTGCTATATTTGGAATAAATTGGGCCAAAGGGAAACAAATCTAGACTCTTTTCTAGACGTTTTTGTTCCCTTTGAATATGTACAGGCTTATTGATGAACTTTGGCCACTCCGTTGTAACATCTAATTTGCAATTTAGAGAAAAATATTAAATAAAAAGTTTTAGATATTAACGTCCAGCATATTCTAAGATAGTAACAATTGATACAAGGTGTCTCAAACTCATGTGGCGAAACAAACTTACATTTTTTTTTAAATGGAATGGCGACTTTCCATTGCATAATCGAACGGTACGCCAAATTCTTGTCCTCTTGGATATAAATTTGGATAAAAAATTTCTGTATTGATCTGAATAACAATTTGAATATTTGGGCATTCCATTAAAAAAAATTGAGTTTGGTCTGTGACTTAAATTTAAGACACCCTGTTTCAATTGTTACTATCGTAAAACAAACTAGGCGTTAATATCTACAATTTTTGTATTAAACATTTTTCACTAATTTTCAAATTAGATGTTAAAACGGGCTAAACCAAAGTTCAATCCATAATCCTGTACACAATGTTTCATTAAAGTAAAGAAAGTGTGACTGTATTAATACGCAAACAAAGACCTGCGCCAAAATGCAATCCAAGATATTCAGTTAAGTGAGATGAAAAGGTAAAAACTTTAGAACTATAAAAAGAAATCGAATTAATGCGACTAAGATAATTACAGTAATTTACTGATACTTTCGTTGGTCGAAGCTTTGATAATTTCGGTAAAGCTTCTACTATCTAGGATTACTTTAGAGGTGACCTAATCTGAGAACCATAAAATAAAGTTTGGATTTTTCTCATATTAGAAAATAAAACTTCCGCGTATGTGAAAGTAATCACATCATACTTAAAAAAAAATGATGCACGATCTAGAACAAGTGAGAGGAGAAAATAACATTGATGCGATTTTTAGACACAGTCGCAGTTTTTTTTGATGATGGTAGTTGTGATTATGTATGAAGCAGAAAAAAAATAAGGAACCATGCTAGTTATTGTTATTGATGATTCAGTTATCTCCATCATATGCCCATATTAGTATTACCTACTGCATTGCAGACAAAATTAATAGAATCTGCGTTATGTTATTAATCTCATAATGAATAGGATCTCATAAATAAATATTGCAGTCTTGAGTATGATATCTTAAATTAAATCGCAGGCGATTCTCATGTTATAGTAAAGATAATAAATAATAATCGATGTTTCCTCCTCTAGGCATACCAGTGTAGCATACATTATTCATTATTATTAAAATATAAACCCGAATATGTTAATGACCTGACACTTGGCTGGTAAATGTGCAGGCAGGAGACTTTGATTTTTAACTCACCCGTCTACTGATGAATTTAATATTTAATCGCACAATTTAAGTTAAATTATCGACTACCTAACGATGCAATTATTTTCAATATGTAAATCGTATCTTAGAGCACCTTAAGAACATTTTTTAGTAGTTGTACGTAAGTTTGAGGATAAAGAGGTGTGATATTCAATATTCTTAAATATTGGAGAAACAAACTTCTAATAAAATTTGTTTTATGATTCATCAAATTAATTCGTAAAATTTCATAGAATATCTCAATACTCTCTGAAATACTGATTTCGAACGTCCTAAAGCGTTCGTCCGCTCTTGGAAAGTTTCCAATTTTTAAGTCTGAGCACAAACGCGTCCACAGTTTTGTAGGATATTTTTCTCCATCCAAAAGATTAGATGTTGAGTAGAAGAGAAAAGTCGGCTGTACTTTATAGAAGTATTTTATACCCATCAATCAAAAGGTTGGTGAATGAAAACTATAAAGGCCATGTTTAACGAAGAATTTAAAATACGTTCCTTAAAAGGACTTAAAAATCTTACCAGCACATTTAGACTTAGACTAGAGGGGCTAGACATTACGTTGACTTAAGATTATTGAACTAATAACATCATTAAACAAAAATTCAATAAAAAATATTGACTTAATTTCTTTGAAAATCTATCCACTATTGGCAAAATCATTTCTTGCACAAAACAGCCTGGCATTGAACTATTATATCTAATCTTGGTCAGAATTTAAGTAAACGTTTCAACACCCTTTCTTCTTAGAAACCATGCACGCATAATTACGTATACCGGTAAAGATCATTTTTTCCCTTTTTAGTATGCTACTTTCCTAATGTCGCTAGCATCTAAAGTGGCCTTTAAAACCATTCTTCACTCAGTTTTCTCTTGATATCTTGCGATACCCAAAGGGGTAGACAATGTCAATTCCAACAGTTCATTATCAGGTCAATAATTTTAGGACTACCTGGTTTTAAATATTAATAATAATAAAAATGATGCTGGCTGAATGTATAACAATGAACATTTTTGTCCAGTAGTAGTTACAAGACTTCTGTTAAGGTCTGTCCGTGATGTCGTGATGTTCTCAGCTTCACGTACATTCGATGTGCAACATTTTCACGTTCTCTTAACGGTACAGCTTAATTATGCCATGAAAAGCTTTTTTACGGCTCAAAAAATATGTTATCACAGCTTTGATCTCGGCAGAGCTTGTCACCTAAAAATATGGATTTAAGAGCAAACTAAAGGTATTGCTGGTTAGTGTCATTATTAGATAGTTGATGAGTAGCGGAATTTTACAGTACCTACCTTTATGACTAAGAATCTGCCCTGCTTACATTTTCAATGTGGGTTTTTAAAAATTCCCCGTTAGTACATCACCGGTTTATAGTCTAATGGCAAAATTCGTGTTGCTTGCTTTATTTCTGAGAAAAAGTAATTTTATTTGCTCCGATATCCCAAAATCATTACCAAATTTTGCTTGTCAAATTGATGAATGTCGGCTTAATATTTCAAAAATTGTAGGCTACTAAAGCTAAATACTTTTAAGGTATTGTGATTAATCACATCATTAACTCTTTAATTACTTTATGTAAATTTATTTGGAATTCGAGGCGATGACTCACTTTTACAGACCGACAATTTGAAAATCATGGAAAACCTATAAAAATTCGCTTCATTGCTCGCTCTCACGACCTTATAAAAGTTTAATCGGTCAGTCAACCTACAACAAATTGCAGGATTTATTGATTTTTTTCGATTTAGATAGTTTATGGTTACCTACTGTTAGTATTTAGGTAACTTTGTTACTATTTTGAAGGTATCAGTAATGTCACTAAATGCTGATTTCGCAGATAGATAGTTAAAACGTAGGTACAATATATATATTTTTTGCAAATCCTTTCTTTTAGCAGAACTGAGATATGCCAAAAACTGATCTTAAATAAAGCAACTGTTATACTTGCTTATATTATCTATATACCAGGTCAAGGTGATTCTTCTCTTGGAAATGAATATTGCTTGAAAGGTAATACTTCAAATTAAAATAACCAGCCGTTCGGGCACTCACGAATGACTTCTTAAACTCATACCGTAAATTACGGGCACGGTTGCATACTTCTCTTAATAAAAATGCTTGAAGCTGAGATTACCTACTAGTTATTATTCGATTTTAAAGTACAATTTCTTTATTTGGGCTTCATCAGAGCTCTGTACCAGTGAATTTGAGTTCTACACATCGTATATAGGGTGTCCGACAATATGTGGGCATGCTCCCGGATTTGTACGTGGGACGTTCAAAAATATAAACAGTTTCTATAAAAAAAATTTCCAGAGGGCCCCCTTACGGAGATACAGGCCTCTAAAGGCGCCACCTGAAAATCGATTTTTTAAAATAACTTTTAGAATACTTAAATAAAAATATTTTGTCCTCAAAAACAGTTCTGTTTATCGATATGAATCAAGAGCGTTTTTTTTTAGTTTAATGTTAAAGCTACATAAATATATTATTTTTGTGTCTTCATTGTAAAGGGCAAACAAAATAACTATTATTGTGCTCCACCTGCTTCCTGGTAAACCGAAATGCTAAAAATCTTTTTCCGGTCCTTTTTAAGATCATGAGCAAACATTTATTTAAAAAAATTGATTCCCAGCTGGCTCCTTTATAGGCCTGTATCCCCGTATGGAGCCCTCTGGAAATTAGTTTTATAGAAACTTGTTATGTGTTTTTAACGTCCCCTGTACAAATCCGAGCGCATGACCACATATTGCTGGACACCCTGTATAATTAATAATAACGTAATTGCAAGATGTACGGAAACAGTCGATGTCGAACAAAGGAGTGTCAATAGTAAAAAATTGTAAATTAATAATAATTGTCACCCTCAGTTTTCGCAAATTTTTCAATCTTCCCTGTATACAGGGTGTTTAGTAAGTAGATGCATTCCTTGTAGGTCATCTCCTACAAGGAAGTGCACGTAAGTCTGGATATATTTCTTTAATAGACCATATTCCAAAAGCTCTTAGCACAGCTTAAATATCATGTTATGATATA